AATAAACTCATAGGTGATACATCAACAAGTCCACTGTAGTCTGTGATAACGTAATATTTTAGGGATTCTGCCTTTGGGAATGGTAGAGCGACAAGTTCTTGAGTTGGGTCTTCGATTGTCACTTGTAACAGACCGTTTCTTTGTGTGGTCAGGCGGTCGGCCTTTGGTGAAATGCGCCACAACGATAGGACCTATTAACTACACGTTCCATTGTTCTTCTCTATTTTGGGTTCATTTTGTTTACATCAGTACCGTCCAAAACGAAAGATCTTAGTTGCTTGTGGTCGCATATATATACATATATATATATATATATAGTGTTGTGGGATACTACTCACTTGTGAGTAGCAGGTAACTTTCAATGATCAAAAATATAACAAGACCACCAAGGACCAAGTGATGTATCTGAAAGAATAACTACCGATTACCCTATGCATTATTCGATGTGCCGCCAGAAACGGCGATGGTATGTTTTTGTGTTATGCATGCTAGGTTACTGCCCCCATCTGTAATCCTCAATTAGACAATATCTTCGACTAGCACCGCCTTGTGGAACTATAGTAGTAGTAGTTCAGTATTTCTATCGGCGGCTTCCGTTCCACTGGCCATATCAGTTTCCTTCTCCACTTTGAGTTACCGATGTTACATGCGAACTTATCTAACCCTAAAGACCAGGCAGCATCACAGCATGTAGGCTCTGCCGGCATCGAATTCGCAGAATTCTGTCAATCTTTTTGAGCTCCACAACCAATGTGGCGGCACACTTACTGTCTAATCATACACGAGTATTGCATTTGAATCGTCACATAATTATGGATAACTAACGACTGGTATGTGCACTCTGTAACTGAATCAGTTAATTATCCGCTTCCGGTGATGGCACGTCACTACTAACCAAACTTAGGATGATGTCGTATGATTTGGCACCGCGTACGCAAAATTATGACCTGTTTGCCTATATTTGTAACCCCGTTGGTTGTGAAAAAGCAATTGAAACTTTCTAAACAAAAGTTTCAGCAGAGAATATACTGAGAAAATTCATCATTTTCCCCGATAATTTCCTCATTCGTGGTGAGTTCATAATACGTATATTTCACAGTTGAAGAGAGACAGTACATTAAATTCTCATCTTCAATATTATTCAGAAAACGGAATAAGGTAGAAGCACTGTATGAGGTTTGAGGTGGGCTGGCAAGTTTGCAAGACTCGTAGTCAGTAGCACGAAAAAAAGAATGGGTAGTTTGTTCCGACCCGGGTGGGTCTCGTCAGCAGTGCGAATCCATCAACACAAGTAGGGATTGAATCCAGGACCTCATAAGTGGAACGTAAGCATAATAGCGTGTCATTGTGTGGAGCTGGAATTTTTTGGTGCCCTGGATTAAGTAATAATTGTGTGTGAAGGTAAAGCCCGATGGATGGCCAGTCAAAATCAATAATAATACTAATAGTAATATAAATCAATCTTACATAACTAGTTACGAGCAACTGAGTTAAAAAAAATAAGTGTAGTTTATTTGTTTAAGCCGAACCATTGAAGGAAAATGTTATTCCATTTATATTACTTGATTTTTCCCATTTGTTTATGGCACTTCGATGAACAACAGCCCCCTTGCTATCTTCAAACTTTTCAGGGGGTCGCTTGCGTTCTCACTTTGACTGCGCGGTTCATCGTCAGCTTGGGGCCTTTGTCGAAAACTGTTGTGAGTGCGCTAATCAATCGCTTCGTGCATGCGTTCTGTCAGCAAGACTCTACATTTGAACCCCCAGTTGAATTACTGACTTTTCTTCCGTGCATTCCTCGGGTGTCACCTGTATCTTGCACCTATTCTAATGTGGTGCACCAACTGATTTTAGCACTGATACGATATATTCGGAATCAAAATAACTCAATATGACCGGAACCTTTGAAAATCATTGTCCAGGAAGTTTTCTACGGTCTTCTCAATCAAATGCCCTTCTTTTATGTGAATCATTTATGCAAAGTGAATGCTTACCACGAGAAACCTTTGAATTGTTTCCCAGTCTTCTAAGCCGGTTTGGTTCAACCATTGAGGAACACGAAATGACATCATAGTTGGTGTTTGAGAAAAATGTATGCCGATTGAATAGGACTTTGTTTATAGATAAACATGCAGTCGTTAAAAATGCGCAAAGGAACCACTAATTGTAAATAAAGCACAGAACCAAAAGCAATAAAGTTCGGCTGATGAGTAGCAAAGCAGTTTGTGGTCCTTTTTGTCCCTTGCTGTTTTATGATTTGAATTTCAATTTTCACACCCGTTACTTCGATTCAATACCATATCACGTAGTATCTTCAGTCTACGATAATCTATTTCTTTTGGGGTCGTAGTCTTGATGCTCCGATTGAAGCTAAACATGAAACGGTTTCTTCAACACTCTACATCCTTTTCCTGATCAGGTTCAATCTCTCCAANGGGGGGGGGGGGTGACGCTGCTCAGGTGTCCGTAGGAAGTACTTTCTATAAGTATAACTTAATCTCAAGAATCATACCACTTTTTCACGGAGATTAGAGAACATTGTATTTATTGGTGCATGAATCTAGAACAGTCTCGCATGCCTGCATAAATCACTGTCGACAGTATCATTTGCTCATGGCTCGAAAACTCTGATGATAGGCGAACTCATTTTTAAAACAATTTCGAGTGGTTTCTCTAAAATAGTCTATTCTATGGGTTGATCAAATCGACCAGCCCTAACGCTTCACGGTCTTTCACGTTGGTTGTCCAGTGTGCTGTCGTTCACGCATACTTAAAATCGATAGTGCAGCGTAGTGCTGGAATTATTCGGTTATTCCAAATTCCAGTTAGGTGTTTCCATTCTTAAAAGCACAACCAGATACCTGATCCATCGTTCTGGTTAACGTGCACCTCTCTCTAACACGCACAACTCTGTTTTGGACAACCCCGCAATGTTGCTTCCCCTGGTAAATGGTGAACTGACTTCGTCAGAAAAACACGTGGGCAGTGATTTACTTTACACAAACACGGCTAGAACCCAAGTAACAACGCAGAACCGATCATGCGTTTTACGCCTTTCATTGTAATTCAGATTCGGGGCATATTTCAGACCATTAAACAGTGCGAAACGCTACATAACGCATGGACTTCGGTCGCATAACGGTGCGATCGGTTAAAATACCTGAAGAGCAGTACCCATTCAGCGCCGATCAAGCGCTTACTCAGCCCAACGCGCAACCGTATGTTGAGACCCAGTTGCCCACATCCGACCTATCGTTCAACATCATAGAGTTTTGCATTGCGGTGAACCGGTGGAGCCGGACGACAGGTCTGTCGGATGACCAGGCCACTTAAGCAGCGAATGGAATGCACGTGACTGGACTGTGTAATGAGGTGCTAAATTTGGTGTTCTGAACGCCATCAAGAACCCACGGGAAGTGCGGAGTAGTAGATCACCGGTGGCATTTGAGAGACTGAAGCGATTAAACAAAATTTTCTCTGGGCGTTCCGTTTTGTTTGTTGAAGAACGAAGACAAACACACTTTACACAGATGTATTAAAAAAGAAACATTTAAAAAGGGCAAGGTTCTTGGAACGGAAGTAAAAACACGGTGAAAATAACCGTACACCAAGCTTATGAACACGTGCAGCTTCACCCTAACTAAACATCGTGCTAATGCCATCTCATGTTGTTTAATCCAAAGGGGAAATCAAGCGCACACGTCTCTTTTTGAAATAAATCCGGACGAATATCAAGTAAGCCTTTTAGTTCTTTAAGTGAATTGTGACTTGTTCACCGGGGTATCTTGACTTTGGAAGAAGGGATTCGATAAAGATGCTAACAGATTACCGAAGGTGCGCTTTCTTTCGCCACTGATTGATCAGATGAGGCCAGAAAAGATTTTCCATGGAACATCCAGGACAGGTACCGGTCAAAGGCAACAAGAATCTGTGGGGGTCAACTGAGCCGGAAGGTCGCGGTTCTTCGCTTAGCATATGACGGGCCAAACACATGAGATGCCACTGACCGGTAGGGCAGGAGTTTGGACAGACCAGCGGAACATCATCAAACGGAGAACCGGTGGGCTAGATGATAGAAAAAGGAAACATCGCATTCTCATATGATCTCAATAGCTTTATAGTAAATCGAAATGATAGGTACGACGATAAACAATTTCAGCAGTGAACAGTAGTTAAGCGTTAATTACCGGAAAATTTTCGCACCAGAAAAGTTCTTTTAATTCTGATTTCAGAGTCCGAGTTTTATTGTGGGATACCCTTGAAAGTTGTTTCTATTCTCACATAGGCTTCGTTGGCACGAATCAATCGACCTGACCTGACAAAGGGATATGATCAATAATGTGAAAAACAGTGTATGAGGGATATCAGTCTAACTGATTTATGTACTTTTATGAACGTCGAAATCTAAAACAGGACAACGTGGTTCGTCAAGTCTATGCTTGAAACATTCACCAGTTTCCATGCCCACACGCCGTGAGATGGGAGAGTGGTCTGCGTGGTGATACACTAACAGCCAGAGATTAACGCCGATTTTCCATCGGACATGTTTTAAGTACGTCATACAGTGAAGCGAACTTTGCTGATCGCTGTCAAACCCGCAATGCTTACTAAGTTAGTAAGATTAAATAAGATGGACGGGACCTATTTTGAAAGAGGGGAAAATAAAGCCTGCTTCAATGGTCAAAACGGATACTTTTAAGCACTAGCTTCAAAGGAAATCACCAGAGGTGGATGTTGGGTGATAATGTGAGCAGTGGACGATATGAATGGGTTAGGTTCTGTAGTACTTGGTACACCAAGATGTATGGGGTGCGCGGTAGGAGTAGCACCTCTGACTCGGATGGCTGTCGGCCCTTTGGGGGCATCCTCCATTCTTTGGTCTCCACCAGGCGCTCAGCTCTCACCTGTGACTCCAAGCTGTCTGTATGCCTTCAGGTACGAGACCACGCATATCAGTGACTGACTGAATCCGCCTGGCATTCAGATAAAACAGTAAGGCTTTAATAAGCAAATTTGTGAAAAGTACGTAACCTACATACCATAGTCCACTTCAAACACAGACCGCATCGGGAAAAGGACGATGCTGAGCAAGTGGCCACCGTTGTGCTAGTATTATTGTGTCCCGAAACCAGTGGTCCAAACGCGATCGGAATGTGGAAGGGTGGAGCTAAATTTGAATCGAATTGTCGCACGTAGTTCTGGTTAATCCAACGGACGATCAGTCCCAATCGATNGTCCAGTACGCAACATAAGACTCAAAATACGAAACCGGTATTCAAACGGCGTTTCTTTGGGTTGGTGACTAGCGCCTTGATTGCTAAGCCGTCTAGAAAGTTCAGGGTTTTGCCATGCCCATTCAAACTAAAGATGATTTGTTATGTGAGAAAGCGATCAGAACAACTCACACGAAGCGCGGATATTTCGTTCGGGAATCCATGAACAATTAGCACCATATCCCTACGAATCCATCAAGATCCATGCAAAATATCAGGGATACCATGGTCCTCGGCCGGATGTATACTTTGCACCGCCTTTGCAGCGTCCCCCATTGTGTTGACGAATTCGTCTGTTTGGGTCCACCGTGAAACCGATATATGTTTTGCCACGATACTTCACATTTTGTGAAACTAACAGATAACACCCGAAAAAGTTTTCGTGAACGCTGTGCGATTCCGATGGGGCATCTTCATCGAAACACTCCAGTCCACTCATGAGCATTCAATAAGCAATCTAAACGGAAAGGAAAACCTCCATCACACGCATTTACAGTGAAATGTTTACACAGGTCTGAACGCAAAAAGGGTTCATAAGTGGTAAGCTATACACCTGCGGGGTCGTATTCGGAATGACTTGAGCGCGCAAAAATTTCGGTTCTCAGGTTGTCAGGTGACAGAAATGTAGGCCAGGGGACGTCCATATTCCAAACAACTAACTGATTGTTACCACGGTGCTCAGAACATAGTATACAAACAAGATTCAAACGACTTAATTTTCAAGCTATCACAACCACATGCATGTAGAGTTCCTGTAACCTGGAAGTCAGTCAAGAAGCCTAACGCGCCGCATAACTGTTTCGGAAACTGGGTTCAACAGTATAAACATAAATCTAGTCAACCAGTTCCGGATAAGCAATGGGAGTTATTAGTCCAGTCCAGTCTTCAAAGGACAAGTAATGGCTCTTGTCCTCGTGTTGCGGCCGGATGTTCTTGGCTCGCAACATCGCGTTTTCTGAGTTTCTTTTAACCGGTTTTCTCAGACGAGTTGAAAAACAGGAAAAAGAAGGGATACCGTTTCCTTTATCGGTTTGCACCTTCAAAGTGCAAAGTGATGCCGCTCTGGAACTAAACGGCCAAGAATTAGTTACAGTGAATAACTTTTCCTACTTATGCAGCTGCGTGACCAATGACGGTAGAACAGAAAAGTAGATAACTGCCCGCATTTCCGACGCTCGAGCAGCATATGCGGGAATGAAACACCTTGGTGTAGACGCGCCGTCTCACTGAAGTTGAAAGGTCGTGTATACTGTGCCACCGTTCGTTCAGTTCTCCTTTATGGTTGTGACACCTGGGATTTGCGAGTAGAAGATATCCGACCACTAGAAGTTTTCGATTATCGCTGTTTACGTAGATTATCCCACGCGGGATGAAGCGAGTGGATTGGAAATGTGGAAGTAAGCCGTCGTGCGCTTGGGAGTCTATAAGGTATATACCTGATAGCGCACCGAATTCATATCACCAGACTTCGCTGATTGGAGCACACACTGCGTATACCAAGTTGTCGTCTGCCGCAAAACCCTCTATTCCATGATTCATATACTGTTTATATCATTATTACTCGTATGTGTAGTTTATGTTACATATACACCAAACATGTAGTGGAAAAGATATCTTTTCCACTACATATTTGGTGATTCTTTTTTTAGGTTATCTCCAGTTTCATATTTTCCTACGGTACCCTGGGTTCTTCAGGAATTTTACTTTATTTTTTTGTTTACTGTACGTGTTACACATGAAGCAATCCAAACTCGACATAGAGAACCTTCCCATATCTTCCCACATTAAATTACCCGCATTCGGTATTACCAACTCCCGGTTGTGGTTCGCTCAAGCCGAAGCCCATTTCCGTGCCCACTGCATCCGCTCCCAGACGATTATGTATTCCCACATAGTCACTTCCCTGCCTACAGACATTGCAGAACAGGTGTTTGAGTTTATCATCACCATACCTGAGACTGACCCACGCACTCAGTCAAAGGAAGTGTTGATCACCCGCACAACTGTGTCGGATGAACGCCGATTGGATCAGTTGTTTGGGGATCTCGAAATAGGCGACCGCATCCCGTCCCAGTTGTTGCGACACATGCGGCAACTCCTTAATATCCGAGTACTTGATGACGCCATCCTCCACCGGTTTTGGTTGAAGCGTCTCCCTCCACGCATCCCGGAAGTTTTATCCGTCCTCTCCAACAGTTCGTTGGATGAAATGACAATGGTCGCGGATAAAATGTTCGAAACCATCACTCAGTGTCTATAACCATCGGTGACCATCATCCCGAGGTCCCCAACCAGAGAGCCAAAAGGGGCCTATGTGACCTAGTCTCCTGGTTAGGGTTTTCATACCCTCATGCCAGGTCTTAGCTTGACCGCCCTTCGCTTTTTTCCAATCGCTACCAGCCTTGGCAAACATCGTTCGCCGTGGCAACCTATCTGGTACGATGCGTAGCACATGTCCCAACCAGCGTAATCTATGGAGGTCGATCACTTCTTCTAGTGGACGACCGCGACTGCCTAAAACTCTACGCCTAACCTCAGCATTGCTAGTCCGGTTACCCCAACAGACACGTGCAATGCTACGTAGACAGCGGTGTTCGAACACCGAAAATCTATTTTTATTCTGTTCCTTTAGTGGCTAAGTCTCTGCACCGTAGAGCAGGTCGAACTGCTGCAGCATACACTCGACCCTTCACAGACAGCCGGATGTCGCGACGGCGCCACAAATGTCTCAAGTTGGCAAATGCCAATCGAGCCTTTTGTATGCGCGTCGACACTTCATCTGTGATGCGTCCGCCGGGTGAGATATAGCTGCCTAGATAGCAATATTTGTCTACTTCCTCTACTACTTCCCCAGTTAGGGTGAGACTGGGTGCTGGATCAACCCAATCTTATAGTCGCATTTTACACTTTGAAGGTGCAAAACGCATACTGAACATCGCTACACTAGCACCCAAACTATACAGAAAAGCTTGCAACTTACCTGGATCTTCACTTAGTAGCACATTGTCGTCTGCATACTCTAGATCAGACGGTCTGCCACCAGGAAGTAAATCAATACCGCTATCCCTGTAATAGGATAGGGCTGTTTCAAGAATTAAATCTATGACAAAGTTAAATGGAAATGGAGAGATAGGGAAACCCTGTCAAACACCGATTTCCGTGGTGAACTCGGGTGAAAAAGTGTCGTAAGCTCGAACTCGGCTTCAGCTATTATTGTAGAGGGATTGTAATATTGAAATAAATTTTTCGGGCACTCCCTTCAGGGAAAGGCAACGCCAGAGTTTAGAGCGGTCGACTGAGTCGATAGCCGCTTTTAGATCGAAGAAAATAAAAATGGTGGGTCTACGAAAGGAGTGTCTATGTTCTAGAATTTGATGGAGTGTGAAGATGTTGTGGTCGATACAGCCTGGACTAGGTCTGAAACCAGCCTGCTTCTCACGCGTACACCGTTCACGTGCGGCAGACAATCGACGGAGTATGATACCGGTTCTCACGCGTACACCGTTCAAGTGCGCCAGACAATCGACGGCGTAGGATACCGGTGAGAAGTTTAGAGGCAATATTGATTAAACTAATTCCTCTGTGGTTTCCACAGGAGGATCTGTCACCTTTCTTGTAAATCGGTACNAAAAGGGATGCGGACAGCCCGTCGGGGTCGGAAGCCTTCTGCCGTTTGAGGTGACTTATTCCCCAGGTAACCTCCATTTTAGATGAAGGACTGATGTTAACTGGCAGTATTTGCACAGTTGAATCGAATGGGGAAAAGCCTTGTGTCGAAGGGGACCAGCTAAACTGTGCCTTAAAATGTTCCGCCCAACGTTCAAGAC